CGCACCGAGTCGTATTGCTGGAATGTGACTGGCGGGGGGAGTGCTGGGGGAACTGGTCCTAAGGTTGGTTTTAACTGGGCTTTCTCCCACCGTAGGCAGCATGAGGGCAGAGGGGAGCAGTAACGCAGTAGCCTGGCTGCCCACCGGTCCATGTGTGCCAGCAGCCCCTGTGCTGTCAGTCTCAGCCGTTCACATCAATCTTGTTTATTGCAATTCCAAATCCTCCCTCCTCAGCTCATTAATGTTCTCAGAGCAGACGTCTCTCTCACCATTGTATTTTGTAATTAGATTTTGATTTGCTTTCAGAGAGAAACAGCAGCACAATAGACATTAATTTATCCCAAGCCTCGCTCAGTCTCCTCTGTCACAAGGTCAGACCTTGGCGTGCACCATCTGCCCTCAATGCCTCCCCCACTATTTGGCTGCGTGTCATTCCCGCACTGCATCCCCTTTCATTTAAGGGGGTTCCCTTACGCACGAAGGGAAAGGAGCAGCGAGGGAGGGCTGGAAGAGGAGCTTTTGCTTGAGCTGAGTTTGAATCGCAGGGACAGGCGTGACCTGGATTTAAATCAATGGGGTGAGGGAGCAGCCTGTTCTGCAGCCCTGTGCCTGCTGTCTGCAGAGCCTGGGTGGCCCCTGGTGCTTGTAAACCCTTTAAGGCACGGTGTAAAAGCCGCAATTTAACATTGCGAGCGAGCGAGGACAGAGAGGTCCCACGCAGCGCCGGATTGTGGGAGCAGAGTGGTGGGGACGGCCGTGGCTGCCTCTCCAGCCTGGAGCCAGTCCGTGCAGCGGAGCTGGAGACAGAGCTGGGAAATGGGCTCTCCCGGTCCCATAGCCCTGGACCAAGCGTGCTTTTCCACCCCAGCGCTGCTTGCAAGTTCCTTGGACAGACTTCATGTTGTAGCCTGTGGCTCTAGAATGAGAGACCGGCAAGAGCCGAGGTCGTGTCTGTAATGGAAACCCTGCTGCGCTCTTGCATGGGCACTCATGGGGCTGCAGGAAAGTGGATTCTTTGCAATGCCTCACCAGTGGAGTTGCCCAGACTCTGAGGGTATTGCCTCCAAGGGTGGCTTTTTAGGAGAAAAGTGACTTTGCATTTCCTTTAGCAGAAAGCAGCAGCCATCCACATTGGGAACGTGTTCATTATTGCTGAGAGATCTGCTTTTGAGTTTTTAAACCAGTTTTGTCTGGCTGTCACTGGTCAGGTGGAAGCATGGGTTGCGAGATGAGCAGAGGCAATGTCTGCCTTGCTGCTGGCATGGGCAGGCGCCTTTGAAACTTCTGCATCTCCCGGGTGGAGGCAGCTCCATATCCTGTGGAGGATGGAGGCGTGAGAGCTTTTATGGTCCAGGTTCACACAACAGCGGAGAACTGCAGCCCCCAATGGGGGCGGGAGGACCACTTTCCCACCAGCCAGAGCTCATTTCACTGCAAGCAGTTGTGCTTTATTTTTGCCAGCATTAACCACTGCGGCTCAGGATTTATGCTAGTAAGTGAATGTGACCAAGGGCTGATAAATCAATCAACACAACCAAAAATAGCACCCGGCAGCTGTTGGAAGTAGGGGATCCCTTCCCCACCAGTCCCCCGCAGAGCAGGAGAGGATTTCATCTGCCCCGGCTGAGTGCCAGCCCTGCGCAGCAACAGCCGTGAGCTGCGGGGGAGACCTCTCGTCTGACACCTTTATCTGGGAAAAATGACTGCAGCTGCCTGCAGACTTCTCTCCAACGTGCCTCTTGGCCAGGCATTTCCCAGTCACCAGGGTGGGGGAAATAACCGAGCCAGAGAGTGGCTTTGTGACCGATGCTGTGTGCCGCTGCATGGCCTGACGTCTTGGGATTGCGTCAGACCTCAAATAATAAGCGATCATTTTAAAGCCTGTCATGGATGGAGTCGCAGAGGGAGCCCAGGGCTGCGGTTTCCAGGTCCTCCAGGACAGCGTGGTGATGCTTTGCATAGGGATAAGGTTACTGGAGGAATCTGGTGACTCTCTTTTTTCCACTGGACTGCTGTACTTAACCACCTGCACAGGAGCCAGAGAGGTTTCTGTGAAGCTGATCACCCCGTTCCGTGTCTTGCGAGGGGGTGTATTTCCTCACTCCTTCTCCGGCGGGCGTCCTGGGGTGGGTATTGTGTTTTTTTATGCAGCCTGAACCAGGAGCGAAGGGCACTCCGAGAGGATCAGCTGCTTTCGGGCTGAATAGTCCGTAGATTATTTCCACATCTGTGTTAGCTTTGGCTCGATCCCACCGATTTGCAACAGCTGTTGGGAAGCAGAGCAGAGATCCCCTCTTTAAATGGATGATCAAATCCTCAGAGTGTGGAGTATGTTATTTCTATGTCATCCTCTTCACGGCAGGAAAAACAGCTTTTAAAAGTTGCTGAGGCAGCACTCTGCCCTGCTGCCTGAGCTATCATCCCATCATCCTGCGGTTTCAGAGCAAGTCGTAATTTGCTTTCCACATCCCACGCCCAGCCCGACACGGGATCCTTTGCGAGGTGTGCGGTTGGGCAGGTACTCGTACAAGGGATGCCTTTTTTTCTCCTGGGCTCCCCTTCCTGTGTGGACCACAACACCAGCATGTGTACGCCGAGCGGGACCGAGGAGGAGCTCATCTCCTTTCCAGAGTGTGTGCAAACCCTTGGCATTTTACCCTTAGAAAAACTGTACGGTGCAATAGTTTGCCACAAGACGGGTTATGTCATCCTGGTGTTCAGAGGCTTTAGGGGGAGATTGGATGTCTTTGCTGGAAGCTACAGTTCAGCTGCAAAATAGTGGTGTGGTGTGGGAATCCCATAGGGAGTTAATCTTATCGAAAAAGCCCAGCTAAAATGAGCCAGGCCTATTTCCTATCAAGGTTTTGCTCTTTCAGGTCAGACCTGCTGTAAAAGGAGCCATCGGGCTCCCTTCAGAAGTGCCTGGCAGGCTTTGGAAACCGAGCCTGGCTGAAGGGTCCGGGGCGGTGGGAATGGTGCTAGATCCTGGCACTCATCCTGCAGTGCATGTGTTTCTCATTCCCCAATAGCTTTGCTAGCGCACAGGAGAATCATCAAACCAAACTGCTCCCACTTCAAACAGGACATTCATGTACTTTCTGATGCGGACAGTGAAATTAATATGGTTAAAGCGGTGAGACCATTAATTTGCAATTCAAGCTTTTTATAACCAGGCTTAAAATGACAACCCAGTTCCAGTCTTCATGCATGCAATTGTTGTGTTTGTTCATCCGTGTCATATGATGGGTTCTAGTGGTAACCCAGCCAGCAAATACGTTGCTCGTAATAAGTGCTGCTCAGCGTGTACGAATCTGTGGACATTTGATGTGACCTGGGATGGTTGGGTGGCGGTGCCTGGGAGCCACGTGATGCTTGCAGCTTTTGCAAAGATGCAGGGTAAAACCTGGCCATTTTGGTTACTTTTTCTCATTTGCCCAAGGTGTGACTGAGTGACATGACGTTCATTGGGTTCACGTCTCAGAGCCCAGTGATGGACATGCTCCCCCAGTAGCAGCAGCAGTCACATTGACCTTTTTTGATGCGTTTTGACCCTTTTGACATACTCTTAGCTTCAAGCTTGCTTGAGGCATTCTTCTGTGGACCCTCAATGATGAGTTAGAAGTGGCAGCCCTCCTTCATGGGGACAGAGTATCTGGATTGCAAATTACCCGTACCACAGATGTCGGGGCAGCCAAGGCTTATCTCTGCAAAGGCAGTTTGGTCCCGGTGGGGCCTGATGGCGTACATGTCCTGAGAAGACCCAAGGCTGGTTGCTGGTGAGAGCTGCCCAGTCTGCTGGACCCTGTAGGCTGCCTGGGGCTAGCCATGCACCGCTCATTCCAGTGCTTCCAGCGAGAGCGGGTTTGGTTTGGTCTTACCCCTTACCTGGGGTGCCCCAGCCCCATCCCTCTGAGCGCAGCCAGTCCATGCAGCCTCTTGGCTCTGCAGTGCAGACCCTGCCACTTCCCAAACTGCCGCGACCCGCTGTAGTGCCCCAAGGGGAGTGCTGCCCATATACAAAGGGCTCGGCAAAACCAAGGGTAATGTAAGCAACTATTTAAGGAGAACAATCCCGTTGCTCGTTGTAATTTCCTCATTGTTTGCAACACCCTCTTAAATGCCTGTGATCCTTATAAAGAGCTTTTCCCCACCCTTTAAACTTCACAGAAGTGGATTTTACCTTCTGTGGCTTGAACGCCCTCGTTGTGAGGGGGCTGGTTTGCATTTAGTATGATTTCTACGCAATGCGTTGCCTTCTCTGGGTCCTGGTAGATGGAGGTTGATAAAGTCTTCTTAGGTCAGCATTAACGCTTTTCCTCCAACCCAAGAGGGTTTTGCTAACACCCCATTGCAAGCAGGCTGGCTTATGTCACTCATTCAGGTATCTCTTTAGTAAAAAGGTGTTGATAGAAATACTTAATACAGTGCCATTAAAATCTGAATGTGGATGTGACTTCCTCCGTCAGCTAGACCTCTGGTGAGCAAACCGAGGGATCCAGTTTGCTCTGCCTGAACATGGCATCCCTTTCGTGCCCTCATCTGCTGGTCCCCAGATCATTCCCATCTCGAGAAGTGGGATTGCCTCTATTTGGAAATCAAGGATGGTGATCCACAGGGTTGTGGCCTCTTTCTCTGGGAAAGCATCTGGGTCCAGCTCCCACATGAGATACTACTGGAAGCAGCAGCATGTTGCGTGAAGGTTTCTCTGGCTCTCGTGCTCGGACGTGCGCTGGCACTGGGTGGGTGGGTTTCTCAGTCCCCTCCTGCCTTTCTCCTGTCGCTGGGTTTTATTCTCCAAACCGGAGCGAGTTGTAAACACCCAGAGCCTGAGAGGGTTTGCAGAGCAGAGCTTAGGGGAAGGTGGTGATTCATTTCCTTCCCCTTTGGCTCTCGGCTATGGTTTGGCTTTTGTTTAAGAGTTTGATAATTCACCGCTGGGCTGTTTAGTTTGAAATGTTTGGAGAAATGTAAGTAAATGTGGTGATGGCAGCAGCTCCTCCATGTATGGCGGGGAGACCGGCTCCTCTGGCCGCAGCCAGCCCACACCTGCAGGCTGGGCCATGCCAGCAGCTGTCGACGGCTTGTTCCTCCCCATCCCGGTGAGCTTCTGTACGTGGGTTAAGCTCCGAATTATCCTGTGCCAGAAGCATATGCTGAGAAGTGTCAGCCCAGGACCATGTGACACCCAGAGCACTCAGTCACTGGTGTTGTGTGGAGCCGAGCTCGCTGCAAAACATAATGACCCGCAGACAGCAACAGCTAGACTGGGGTGCCCAAAACGTGGCCATCGCAGTCTGCACGGCTTCTGTCGGTAGCCAGCGGGGACTGCTGCAAGGCTGGCAGTGAGGGATGGGTGAGCTGGGCTCTGTGGCCCCCAGGCCAATGTCAAACCTGTTAATGAGCTCCTGGGAACAAACCCGGGAAGCCCCAGTTGCAGAATTGTGTTTCTGTGTGTTGGCCTTGTTTTCAGTGTGGCTCTGTCTTGGCAGGGGTTGCTGGTTTGTTTAATGAACATTGAAATGGGAGGGAAGGAAGCAGCCAGGGAAGTGCTACAAATTGCTTCAGAGCAGTGCCATTAAAGTATTTGTGCTTACGATGTCTTCTAAATAAAGACCTCAATGTATGGTAAATATTACCCCCATTTTACTTGCAAAGAGGCAAATGCAGCAGGAGGAGAAGCTTTACCTGCGCTCATGGGCAACAGGCGTGAGACGAACGCTGGTCTCGCCCCTGGTACCGAGGGGATGGTGTTGAAGGATCATGTCTCTGGGAGTAGTGGAGGTCCAGGTTGGCCCAGCAGCTCTGGAGAGATGCCCTCATGTGCTTTCATATGTGTTGCTGTAGCACCAACTCCGTTTCCATGCTTAGCTCTGACCTCTGGTCTGAAAGATGCTAACGCCCCAAAATCCTCCTCTTCATGCTGCCACGTTTACCCTTCTCCTCTCCCCTCCCGATCTCTTTTTCAGCTGAAGCTGTGGAACAAGTACAGAGTCTCCAACATTCCTTCCCTGATATTTATCGATGCCTCCACCGGGAAGGTGGTTTGCAGGAATGGCCTCCTGGTAATCCGAGATGACCCGGAAGGTAAGACCTGGAGTCCCGTGTGCCACAGAAACATGGGCACACGGCTGCCTATTCAGTTCATTTTTAATTGCCTCGGAGGGGAAAAAAAAAAAAAAGGAAACAAACAACTCTTGTCATACTTAACTAATCAAGGCACTGTATTATTTTCAGCATAAAATTCTGCATCATTCCTGCCAGATCTTGTGTTTTGGTTTTGCTTGTTGAAAAGAACAAAGAACTCCCCTCCAGGATTTTTGTCTGAATTGCTAATGAGGAAAAAGTTAGACTAACTGAAACATTAACTTTGGATTTTTCCCTGATGGAGGCACATGGACAGACGGACTGGGGGCCCAGACTTGCCATACCTTGGGAGCAGAATCATTCCAAAATGCTGAGTGGGACTTTATCACTGACATCACACTCTGCTAAGATAAATGAATTCCTCGTTATATACAAACGCAACAGAAAAATGCTACTGTTCTCTGCTTCTGAAGCTTACTGTTCCAGGGTTTGATGTTAAATCCATCTTCTTCCAATCTGCAAAAACCAAAATGGGCAAAACACGTGCCCTTACTCATAGACTCTGCAGACCCATCACTCAAACCACCGGGCTGCCTGTGCACACCTATTACCGACCCGTCGTTTCTTCTTGCCGTAGATACTGAGCACAGTGGCTGAGCCTTTATTTCAGGTGGCAGGAACTGTGCAGCAAGTACACGTTGTGGCCTGAGCCATCTGTGCTGTTTCCTTCTCTCTGGCTGAATACGTAGATCAATTGCTCTAGGAGCTGGCAGCAGATGATTCAGAGCATGTGTTTGTGTGTACGCACACATGCTTGCTTTGGGGTGCAGAGGGTTAGTCTTAAGTTTAGGGGGTTTTTTTTATATATATATATATACACACATCTTTTACATAATATATAAGTTTTTATAAATAAATAAATATGTGTATATGTACATAAAAATATATGGTTAGTATCAGTATAAGGCAAATAGTCTGACTGCATTCCTGAGCACGTACCACCTTGCCCACTGTTGTTAAAACAAATGCTGTTGATAAGGAAAAGATGCCTGATAAGGCACAAAACTCAAGCAGGCTTTCTCAAGCCAGAGGTGCTGCGACTCGAGCGAGGGTGCAGCCCCCCTATAAGAAAGAGGTGGCGCCTGCTCCCGTGCAGAGCTTGGCTTCCTCAGCTCCCCATAGCTTTGCAGAAGGTGGGATTTTTTTGTTTGGTCAAACTTTTTGAAACTGTAAAGGCTGCATGTGCATCTTGCTGTTTTGTGTCTTCTTTCCACCTTCATCCCAACCCCTCTCCAGGTCTGGAGTTTCCCTGGGGGCCAAAACCCTTCAGTGAAGTTGTTGCTGGGCCTCTGCTAAGGAACAACGGCCAGACGCTAGACAGCAACACCCTGGAGGGCTCGCACGTGGGGGTCTATTTCTCTGCGCACTGGGTGAGTAGTAGGCACTTAGCAGAGCAATTAGAGCGAGCTTGGGGGTGCTCTGGGGATCCCCCCCGCAGCTCTTGCTGCAGAGCTCTGTGGGAGGGTAAAGACCTCTGGCTGGTTGGTGTTGAAGCAGTTAAGATGCTCCAGTCGTTCTGGAAGAAGCCGCAGCATTGTGGTGCCCTGTTGTCCTCAGCTAGCCCTTTAGAAGGCGAAGAGTGGTCGGATTTTTAAAATGAAGGAGGTTTTGTTGGCAGCTTGTGGGCCGTAAGCCCCAGCCACGTTCAGGGCTTCACGTTCAGGCCCAGTGCTTCAGCGAAGATGAGGGCACATCTGTATTTTCATGGTCACTAGGTCATCTGGACTGCTGGGCGTGGGTCCTTACGCATGTGTTGTGTTTTGCAGTGCCCGCCATGCCGAAGCCTCACGAGGGTCCTGGTGGAGTCCTACCGGAAAATCAAGGAGGCAGGCCAGAAGTTTGAGATACTCTTCGTTAGTGCAGACAGGTAAGGAAGCGCTAACACCTTGTGCAGGCAGAGCTGGCTTCCCCCCAGCTGGGAAGCTTTGAGCATTGCTGGTTTGATTTGAGGAGGAAATTTGATTTAGGGTGGAGCAGGTTGGCTCTGTTATCAGAAAGGCTGCCCAGTAGTGAAGTGCGAAGGGGGATTAGCAGGGGCAGTGGTGGGCTGAGAGCGGGCTCTGTCCATGGAACAGCTCTGTTTTTAGATTTGTGGCTCATGGGTCTGAGGTCCGAAGGATGCTCAAGCTGCTGCTGTCACTGTGGCTTGACATTCAGATGCCCCAGGGAGTTTGAAATATTTTATCAGGAAAAAATGCACTGCGAACCCCTTCTTGAGGGACTGTGGGCTTTAAATTTGGTCTAACTCTCCCCGGGTTGTGTCTGCCAGCAGCCCTTACCAGTGGGCTTTGGTAGATGGGATAAAGAGCTTTGCAGGCCAGGTTTTTAATGAGAAGAGGAAAGAGCCTGGCAGGTGGAGGGGCTGTGCTCTGGATCCCATCCCCTGTTCCCATTGCACAGGTCGGAGGACTCCTTCAAGCAGTATTTCAGCGAGATGCCCTGGGTAGCTGTACCATACGCCGATGAGGCCAGACGGTCGCGTCTGAATCGACTCTATGGCATACAAGGTAGGAAAGGCCACACTGATGCACAGCTCTCCATTCTGCTCCTTTTGTTGAATATTTGTAATGTCTCTTCTTGTTTAACTAAAACAAGAAAACAGCAAAGCAAAGCACAGTGCCCCAGGCAGAGCCGCTTCATGTTTCTGCTCTCCACAAACTCACATTCCTACCACCTGCCAGGCAGGCTGTTAGTTGAAACAGGACTTCCATAAGCAACCTAATTCTTCCTGGAAACTTGGAAGCTGTTTTTGGCTTGGATGTTTTTTGCCTAATTACTGATTTATTTATTTTGCTTTTTCTTGAAGGTTTAAGTTTCATTTTCTTGCTGTTTTATGTAATGTAAAGGCAGGCCATCGTTCTCTGCAGAGGCTGAGGAAGATGGCATCTGGTTTATGTTAGTGACATGAATTACAGAAGAGTGTGTGTTTGATGTAAAACATGGCTTTGCCTTTACTGTACGTGCCAGTGCCAGAATTCCAGCAGCCCCCGGCTGCTTGGAGGGACAGGGGAAAGGGTCTGTCTGGGTGGCTTCAAAGCACCCTGAAGATGACAAAATTTCACAGCAGCCCCTCTGGGGACTGGCACCTTGTTTCTGCAGGGCACAAACTGCAGCATAGACACATGCAAGGTGAATAGTCCGCAAGGAGGTCTTTTGTAGATACACACAGTTTTTCCCAAGGGTCTTGCTGCAATGTGCCTGTTTCTTATCCATTTCTTTGTGGCATCGGTGAAGTGGGCACAGACTGGCAGAGCGTTAATGCAGTCTGTAGGGGAGGAGGAGAGTTGCCAAAGGTGGCCAAGGGCCTGGGGAGATTGGCAAGAGAAATAATCCCTCCTTGCGGTCCTCTCTGAACACCCCTTCTGGGTTGAGCTCAGGTGCCATCCCTCAGCTCTGTTCCCTGACCTTAAACCAAGAATAACCATTCTCCTGCTTTAAATAGCCTTCATTTTGCTGCGTAATTACCTTCCCATGAGGCACGAGCTTTCCAAATTCATCTGTCTTTGCCCCGGCCTGCTCACAAACGTCTCCAGTGCTGGTTTCGGCTGAGCATTGCAGGATTGCTGCCAGTTTCACTGGGACTTTCTGTAAATAAGGTGTCCAGACATGGATACTTGAGCACCAGGCATGCTGTAGCCAGGGAAACAGTGACAACAGCTTTCCCTCTAACTCCAGCCGCTGGCTCCTTACATGTCTCCCTTCATTGTGTGCTGACCTGAAAATGTAAATATTTGCTATTCCCCTGCACCCTGACCCCATTTCTCTGCCAGGGAAGCTCCCATATTACCCCTGCATTTCAGCTGCTCTCCCAGGGATGCTGCCCCTGGGATTTGGGCATGATTGAGTGCAAACCCTTCTGCCTATCTGTCATGGTTTTCCCATAAAGTGGGAACCTCTCTACAAGGGTGAACCGTGATCCCACAAAGTGTCATTGAAATATGGAAGCAGGCACCCTGCATGGGAAGCATCATCACCATCCCACCTCCTTTCCCACCCAGGCACTGCACAAGCTTTGCAAGACTGGTCTGGGCTCGTGTTTCCCCACTGCGGTCCAGGGTGGATGCTGAGGCACCAGAAGATGAGGAAGAGGGCTGGAGGCGAATCCTCACACCACTCCCCAGGGACTATGGGTTGTTCTTGACCCCTGCACAAGCAGTGATTTGGGATCCTCCCCAATGACTTCGGGGCTGCTTCACATGAGCTCAGCGGGCGCCTGCCTGTTTGCACTCAGGCTTTCTCAGCAGGCTGCTGCACCGGCTGTAGAGAAGGCTTTCTGCAAACAGATCTAGGTGTCGTGGGCTCAGCTCATCGCCACCAGTGGTTATTACACCTAAATGAAAAATTGGATCCATGTGATCTGATCTGCCTTTCCCCAAATGCATCCTGCCAAGTGTTTCTGAAGCCCTTTGGTAACTGCATCTCTGGGTGCTCCCTCCGGAGTTGCACCTATGCACCAGCGAGAGCACGTAGCCCATTCGGTGTCCAGGTTACCATCCTGATGGTGGCTTGGGTTGTGAGTGCAGCGTGTGGGCGGGGTGGTTTTTCCACTGGTTTTTGTAAGGCTGGGAGCTGAAACAACAGCAGCAGCTTGTCTTCCCCAACTGCTTTAAGTTCCTGAGTGGTGGAAAGTAGCAAGAGTGTCAAATCTCGTGTTGTTTTAGTCCTGTGTTGGCCCCTACAGCATTCAAAAACTCAGTGTAAAATGTAAGTTGAGTTATTGGCCTTTATTTGGGTTTACTTGAATGCCTCTATTCATAACCCATGTGCAGTCAGTGGGCTGTACCATACCCACCAATATTAAATTGCTTCTGGGTGCAGCACTATCTTGAGAGAGTCATGTCTTGTGTCGTGGCTGCTAAGAAATAATTCACCGTTGTGCGTGCTGCTCCCGGTCTGCGTGGTCCTGCCGTAGGGGGAATCCCCTGACGTTGGCTCTCCTTTGGATGGGATGGGGAGCAGAGATGAATGTTAAGCTCCAGTGGGAATTGGCCCTTTTTGTTGTGTATCTTATGAGAGCTTTTGGGTTTCTGAATATTCCCTGTGGACTCTGTGGTGGCAATTTGGGATTTGCAGTCCCTTGGGGGAACTTCCAAAAACTGTTGTTTCCTCCCCCTGCCCCATGCTTAGGCCAGACACCCGCAAGTCACTCTCGCAGCCCGGCTGGTGGCAGCAGCCTGGAAGTCACTGTTATGGGAGGTTTTTCGTACCAGGTTTCTGGAGCTTTCTTCTGAAAAGGTGAAAAAAACCCAATAAAACCCACACGGTTGGTGTATTCTGAGTGTTTGCTTCATGTCGATTTTGATTGCTCACCCAAAAGACTTAATGCAGATTAGATTTCCATGTCGGATATGGGTTTTAATATATAAATAAGTAAATGTATTGCCAGGTTCGGTAACAAATCATTTGGCCCCTGTGTTTTCATAAAATGCTAGCCCTCTGGGAACCTAATCCATTTTCTAATGCATAAAATCAAACTGAGCCTGTCTATGCTAATTCTCATCCAGGCTTATACAATATTCATTGCAGAGTGTCTGATCTGTGATTCTTCTTGATAAGTAAATTCTGGTGTTATGACTCATGGCAATTACCAAAGCCCCCAAAAGGCACTAAAATAACAAATAGTGGCTGGGATAAGCAAGGAGGGGGGGACCAGGGGGAGGAGTATTGGGGTTAGTGGGTGTGAATAAGGTTAAGGACGGTTCCTCTGGTCCTGCTGGTCTGTGCCCCACACAAAGAGGACATGTTTGCCAGGGGAGCAGTAACAGGGTTCGCCTGGGAAGACAAGGCTGATCCTATGAGATGCCACCATGAACCCAGTAAGGCCATGCCCTAGCCCGGGGGACCCGGCCAGGGGTGCACAGGGAGGAGCTGAGGAGACAAGGCAGCGAATTCGGGATTGAGGGGCAGCCATGGGAGTGGGGGGCAGATGGCTCGCAGCAGGCTCAGCCTTCACCAGGCAGGTCTGGAGAGGAACCCAGAGCTTCGTGGCTGGTGAGAAACCTCTGATGCCGGGTAAAAGGTGCAGGGATTGACCCAGCGCATGTCACGCACCTGCTAAACAGACTGAAAAACCAGCCCCAAATTTTCTGATTTCCCAAACATGCTAAACCCAGGATGAATTATCTTAAAGACTCTTTGTTTTCTGAGTCAGTTTTGTGTTTGCAGTTGGAGGTTTTAGTGGCTGGGTGCTTTGGTGGGTGTGTGTGTCTGCATACGCAAATCAGGTAAAGCCTGAATGCTTTGCATGGTGGATGAAGTCCCCGATAGCTGTGGGATCACACTGACAACGATCTGTGTCTAAATTGGGCCCTTAATATTCCCAGATCAGCAAAGCTCATTTGCAGTCTCTGCCTTGGTATGCTGCGTTGTTGAGGCTGACTGGCAACAGGGGGACCAAGTTGAACCCACATTTCTAGCCCGTCCCTCACATATAATGCAAGTCTGGAGAGGACTGAAAAGCAGGTATTTGGGACAGGGTTGGGAATGATAAATGGATAAAGATCCCAATCATGTGGGATGCTGATAGCCGTGTGCCTTTCCTGACTTCAGCAGTAGTTTGTGCCTTGCAGGATAGGGCCAGAGTGAGATTTCCCAATTCCTTCCAGTCTGTTTAACCCATCCCTGCCCTAGAGCCATTTTGAGTACCAGCAGCTAATGAATAAGCCTTTTTGTGATACAAAATGGTTTTCTTGGCATACCCTTAGGATTTGCAAGCCCAGCCATCAAGCTCATTCCTGCGCTGCTCTTGCACCAGGCCGGCGCGTGCAGCCCCAGCTCACCGGCAGGAATGTGAGCAGCACTGCCGGGCTGGAATGAGGGGAATGCAGCCGCTTGCCCAGACCTGCAGGCAGGCGTGGGACAGACAGACAGCCGTGTATTTCCTAGAGAAATGCCTAGAATTCAGAGAGCTTGTGAGTAACCCATTGTTGTACAAACACGAGAGCGCAGTGCCAAGAGTCCGGCAGGGGCAAGCATGCTGGGTCCTCCCTGCTAGAAGAATGGCTCTGCGGGGTATTTCTAACAAATGAGCTTTAAAATTAACCTTTGGATGAAGGCAGGAGGATTTGAGTTGCCCCAGTTTGCTGATTGTGGTTCAGGGGATGTTGCTGGGTGAAGGAGGAGATGCTGGACAGCGAGCAGATTGAAGTCCCGGTGGTGAGAAGCGGACAGCAGCACCTGGCACTAACACCGGTCACTTGACCCGTCTCTTGGGGCCTGATCCCAAACTCTTCCCTCTTCCTTCCTTGTGGGATGTTTCTTTATCTCCTTGATGAGAGAGGAATGGTGTGCTTTCCAGATGAAGTCACCAACATGAGGTGCTCCTGTTGACTCTTCTGTGACCGTTTTGTGGCCGGAAAGCCTCATCGGTGCCTTATCAGATGGGACCATCACCAGCTGGTGTCCACCCTGCTTCACTGCCGGCCTGGCCAGGTTTGAATAGGTGACCTGGGCTAAATCTCTGCTGCAAGCACGTTCTCCTCCCTTTTGCAAAGGCAGCGGCCAGGCAAGGTGGATGCAGGTTTGTTTGCAAGCATTGCATGCAGTTTAGCTGTGTGACAAAGTCTGCTGGTGTTAGTGTGTATGATCCTGCTCCGTCTCCCCTTGCAGAGGCATGCACTGTCTTTTGGATATTCCTGGGGACATCTGTGGCCCTGAGCACTAAATCACTGGTTGTTGGTGCTGGTCCAGGGGCCTTTCCTCCACCAGCGGTGTTAGGTGCCTGCCTCGTCGGGCTTGGGTGGTGCAAAACAGAGTGTGACCCAGGTTCATGACTTGTCAGATGCATCCCTGTGCTCTGGAAATGGCTGGGCAGTTAGTGCCAGAGAGGGGTGTGGGGGTTCATGGAGGAGTTCGTGGCTGCAAAATATATGGTGTTCCTTCTGGGAAGGAACACACCCTGCTTTCCTGGCTGCCGCTGTCTGCAGTCCACCCTGCAAAAAGATTTGCGTGTGTTCCTGTGAACCAGGGTCCGGGCTCTTCCAGCGGCAGCCACATCTCAGCACTGGGGCGATGGTGCCTGCGGGACAGCACTGCTCCGTCTCGTGCACGGGAGGCACCTCTGTCTGGCATTTTGCAAGAGGGAGCTTGCAAGGAGGGTCCCTGTGTGGTATGGTGGGGTTTGCATCCAGGAGCATCAGCATCAGACAGCGGTGACCCCTGCCTGCACTCGGGCAGGGAAAGGCAGGCAATGCCAGAACCCGTCTCCCAGCTTCCTGCTCTGGCTGCTGAATTACAGCGCTCTGCTAGGACGGAAACAGGATCCAGGGACCCCAATTTCCACACGGTGCATGAGCTGCAGAGAGGCAGCATGCTCGCTGAGCTCCTGCCAGAGCCGGAGGTGACAGGAAAAGGCCTTTCTCCCCACGCCCTGTCACTGGCCAGTTCACGCTTTGGCTGATCCCCCCTGTTTTTCTTCTGTCGCAGGCATCCCGACTCTCATCGTCCTGGACTCCAAGGGAGACGTGATCACGCGGCAGGGGCGGGTGGAGGTGCTGAACGACATCGAATGCCGCGAGTTCCCCTGGCATCCCAAGCCTGTGCTGGAGCTGACGGACTCCAACGCTGTGCAGCTGAATGAGGGCCCCTGCCTCGTTCTCTTTGTAGGTATGGAGCATCGCTGCTTTGAAAGCAGAGCCTGCGCTTGGGAAGGGGGCTGGGCTACCTGCCAGCTCTGTGGAGCTGGCCACAGGGCTGAGAACCCG